CCGAACACCCTCTCGGCGCTGATAAATGAGGGCAAACAGGAGATTGCTCACCTTGCCAGCCATAGAAGTCGAGGAGGAGCTGGGTGAAGGGTGCCATGAGGAAGGTGAGCCCCATCCCAGAGCGGGCCACGGCGTTGGAGAAGCCCAAGCGTGCCCGGCAGCGCTTGGCCGTCATCACTGCGGCCGCCTGGTACAGACAGGCAAAGCCCAGCCCTGGGTGGGGGAAGGTCAAAAAGAACATCCCTCACTCTCTCCCTAGGCCCCAAAAAAGTACCAGGAGCTCTTGGAATTCTCAGTCATGCCATGCTGAGTCTCTGGGGTGCAGCGTTCCTGGTGGGAAGGGCGGGGGGGGTTCTCCTGGATGTGGTTGGACTCAGTGGAGAGCGAGGTTTTGTGTGTGGTGTTTCATGTCTGGGGGGCGTTGGAGGCTGTGCCCTTTTAGTGAGGGGGGTTTTAAAAGGCCAGGATTTGGTGGAGCCAGAAAAAAAAAAAAATCAGGGTTAGCTGGGACTAAGTGAGTTGGAAGCGTGGTTTGTTCTGAGCATGGAGTGCTGAGGGCTCACAGGAAGGAGCTGGGGATGCTTTGCCACTCGAGGTTTTACAGAGTCACAAAATAACTGAGTCGAAGGGACCCCCAAGGATCATCAGTCCAACCCCTGGCCCTGCACAGACACCCCAACAATCCCACCCTGTCCCTGAGAGTGTTATCCAGACCCTCCTGCAGCTCTGGCAGCCTTGGGGTCGTGACCATTCCCTGGGGAGCCTGTTCAGTGCCAACCACCCTCTGGGGGAAGAACCTTTCCCTGATACCCAACCTGGCACAGCTCCAGCCCTTCCCTGGGTGCTGTCCCTGCTCACCCAGAGCAGAGATGGTTCTGCCCCTCTTGAGGAAGCTGCAGACCCCCCCTGAGCTCTGACCTGTCTCCTCCAGCTGAGCAATCCATGTGCCCTCAGCTTCCCCCCTGGACCCTCCCCCAGGGTTTGTGCTTAAAGGAGCTGATTCCTTGCTGGTGGCCCAGGGCAATGTGTGTGTCAGAGGCTGCTCACCCAGCAGGAGTCCCATGGAGACGCAGAGGAAGGGGACACTGGTGGCCTGGGTGCTGACCAGGCACCCCCCGGCCACCAGCCCGGCCCCGAGGAGGGACGTGGGACGCTCGCCCAGCCCCCGGCACACGACGGCCACGAGTGGGGCTGCAGGGGAGAGAGGCACAAAGCTCAGGCTGAAGGTGACAAAAAGGCCTCCCCACCCTCACAGCCAAGGATTCCTTCCCAATATCCCATCCAACCCTGCCCTCTGGCAGTGGGAAGCCGTTCCCTGTGTCCTGCCCCTCCAGCCCTTGTCCCCAGCCCCTCTCCAGCTCTCCTGGAGCCCCTTTAGGCACTGGAAGGGGCTCCAAGGTCTCCCTGGAGCCTTCCCTTCTCCAGGGGAACATTCCCAGCTCTCCCAGCCTGGCTCCACAACCCTGGAATCCCAGGATTTTTTGGGTTGAAAGAAATCTTGAAGCTCAACCCATTCCACCCCCTGCCATGGGCAGGGACACCTTCCACCAGCCCAGGTTGCTCCAAGCCCCATCCAACCTGGCCTTGGACACTTCCAGGGATGGGGCAGCCACAGCTTCTCTGGGAATTCCATCCCAACCCCTCCCCACCCTCCCAGGGAAGGATTTCTTCCCAATACCCCATCTAAATGCCATACAGCCCCATCTTTGGACCACATCCCTGCTGAGACACGTGTGGGCACCGGCCATGTCCAGCCTGGAGCAGTCTGGGAAGGGAATCGGATCTGCAGAACACCCTCAGTGCTCTCAAAGCAAATGTGCTGGGGTTGAAGCACTGCCCCAAATCCTCGGGGGTGCCAGCTCACCTCCCAGGAAGCGCAGGGAGGACATGATGGAGCCAATCCAGCTGACCTGCTCCGAGGAGCCCCCCACGTCCTCCTGGAAAGCCACGAAGAAAATCCCGAAGGTCTTGAGCATCCCCATCACCAGGACGTTGACCTGAGAGGCAGGAGCAGACAGAGGTGAGGAGCCACGGGGAGCAGGAGGGAGGAAAAGCTTTTCCATCTGCTTTTCTTACGGGGATAATTTGTTATGCTGATGAATAGACCGGGACACTTGAACTGGTGTTGGGGAACATCAGCAGGGTGAGCTCGTGGTGACCACGCTGCAGCTTCATCTTAACAGGCCCTCAAAACCCCTCTGCAAACTCCTCCAAGAAAAAGAAACAAAATCACTCCATAACCCAACTCTTCCAGGATGTTTTTTGCCCTAGGAGTTACTTTTTAATCCTAAAGCAACAATGAAACGGGTCTTGGCGCTGCTGAAGATCACTGGGAGTCGATGGGGCGGGTGAGAGGAGCAGGATGGGTGCTATCCAGGGCAGTTTCCCAGGCTTTCCCTGCCGTGGGAGCAAAGGACACACACTTTGTGTCCTTAATTTTAACTCCCTCTCACCTCCCTGGTAGCAGGTGGTTAATGATTGGCAGCGAGTTTACTTGGGATGGGGTGGAATTGGGGAAAGCTTTCCCGGCTTGGGGGGGGGTGGTCTTGATGACCTTAAAGATCTTTTCCAGCCTTCAGGATCCCTTGATTCATTGCTGGTGGGAAGATTGTGTGGTGTTAAAGCCCGTGGAATGGGGAATTGGTGCCTCTGAGGGGTGTTGAGGTGCCCGGTGCTCCCAGGGGGCAGTCCCAGGTGTGTGTGTGCTGTCCCTGGGATGTTTGCAGCTGCCATTCCATAGCTGGGTGGGATCAGCCTGTCCCTGTCCTCTGAGTGAGATTTGAGGCTTTTCCCTTCACTCCAGATCACGGAAGGAGGGGTTCAGTGGGATTTGTTCTGTGCTTACCAGGAAGAAGTGAAGCACCGCTGCCCAGGCCCACCCTCCGAGCGCTGCTCCGGCCCCTGGGCTCTTCCCACCTTCCTCGGGCTCTTCATCCTCCTTCCCTTCCCCTGGAACGGGAGTTTCGGGACGCATTAACACCTCCCTCCGGTGCTGCTCCACTTCAAAAGCTGTTCCCCCTGTCCCACTCCGCCTTCAGTTTGGAGGGTGGGGGGAAGATCCAGCGGCTTTTGTTGACAAGGGGTGTTAAATTACACATTATCCCTGCCTGGAAACAGTTTAACATCCTTTCTCTTTCCCACCAAGTTACTGTAACCACTGAAGGGGTTTGAAGTGGAGCACCTTTGCAGCTTCAGCGGTTCGCTTTGTGCCCCGAGTCGGGGAGGGGGTCGCGTCTGTCTGATCCAGTTTTGAGCCCCTGGGAAGCTCTCCCGATCCCATCCTCTGCTTGTCTCCCTTCCATCCTCTCTGGCAGAGGCAGGACCGTGCCCCAAGGAGCAGCTGGACGCTGGAGCAGCTGGGGGTGATGATCCTGAAACCTTTCCTTACCTCCTCGCTGCCTCATGCTGGAAAATCCTCCCTAGAAGAATCGATGGCAAAGAGGAATCATCTCTTCATTTGCTCCGGAGCTTAAATCCCCCCTTCCTGACTTGGCAGCCCAGAGTCTGCTCCTTCATTCACATCCCCGAGAGGATGATGGTGTCTGTCCTTCCTGCAAGCCCCAGAGCAGGACATGGAGCCTGGCAAGCCCTGGGGCTGAGTGACAGAGCCCGTCCTCCTCCTCCTCCTCCTCCTCTCTGTTAGGCCACAAGGCCAGAGTCCCTCCCCTTCCCCAGCTGGGAGCAGGAAATCCAGGGCGTTTGGAGCAGAAATCCTGTTGGGAAAGAGGAGGGGAAGCCTGCAAGGGTTGTAACTCCAGGGAAAGCTTTGGATGTGGCCGGAAGAACGGAGCGGGAGGTGGCAGTGCTGGACTGGATCCAGGCCTGGGAAACTGTCCTTTAGGAGGGGGATAGTCTGGAAAACTTGGGAGTTTGCAGCTGGATGGAGCAGCTGTGCTGCTGCAGCCCTGGGAGGCAGCGGGATCGGCGTTGGCTCCCCTGTAAATGTGCCCCAGCTCCTGGATAAACACGGCCCTCGTGCTTCCTGCCCTGCTGGGGGCTGGCCTGTCACCCCAGCCAGCATTCCTGAGCCCAGAGAAAACTGGGATCACTGTGGGGACCCTGATACTGATCTCTGTCTGCCCCCTCCCTTGGCAAAGCTCCATCTTTCCAGAGGAGCCCAGGAAACACGGGAGTCTGTGAGCTTTCCATGTGGCTTTTAATACTTGTCTTGAGCTTTATTTACATGGGGTGGGGTTTGCAGGGAGGGTGGTTTAAGGGCTTGTGGGGGGGGGGGCAGCATCTGCACTCAGAGCTCTTGGAATTCCAGGGGGAAACGCTCCAGTTCCAGCTGCTCCACCTTGGTGGGACGTGGGGAGAGTAAAGAAGGACTCTTCGAGGCCACCACAGGGTTTGGGCACGCAGAGATCTCAGGGCTTTCCTGAGAATCAACACTGAGCTGGACAGGAGTGTGGACTCAGCCAGGCAGAAGCTCCTCCTGCCTGTTCCATGTCAGGCTGAGATTGTCACTGCTGAAGGGATCAGCTCGTTGGAGTCACATCAGAGCAGCCTGAATGTCATTTTCTCTCTGACCCAGCCCAGTTTTCACCTCGTGCTCTGCTGGGAAACTTCCCTTCCCCTCCCTGCACAAGACCAGCTGCAGCCCAGCTCCTTTTCCCTCCCTGCCAGGTGGGAAGCTCTGGAGTGGAGCAGCTTCCCAGGCCTTTTTTTGCAGGATTTTTTCCCTGCACCGTTTCAGATCCGGGGTCTGGATTTGTGAGGATGTTGCCAACATTCATTTCCAGCTCACACAGGGCCAGCACGTCCAGCTTTTAATCCAAGGCAACGAGAGAACAAGAAATCCTCCCACAGAACGTTTTAACTCGAGGAGGTGAAATGTTCCCCAGGAGAAATTCCTTGGGAAGCGTCTGTACCTTTCCTGCTGGAGGAGCCCCCATTAATCCCAGTCTCTTCTCCAGAGAAATGCTCATGAAGGGAGTGGGAAAAATCACCTCACTTTGGAAAAGAAACACCAGGCCCAGCAAAGAGAAGCAAAGGGGTGGTTTGGTTTTTTAAAGGTCATTTATTGATTTCTCCAAGAAAAAACACACAATCACACCTGGCAGGGTCTGACCACGTGTGCCACCCTCAGCACCACAAGGGCTACAGTGGGAGCTGGGAGACCTGGAGAGCAGCCCAGGAGCTGTTCAGTGGAGAGGGAGAGCCTTCATCCTGGGTCTGGGGGGGTTCCAAACCGGGGCTGGATGGAGTGCAGGGCTGTGCAAGGGAGGAGGAGGAGGAGCTGGCAGTGCAGCTGCTCCCCGGTGATCAGGATGCCAACTTGTGCACTGCCACGGTGATGGTGTCGTGCTTCTGGATCATGATGTTCCTAAAAACGAGGGGGAAAGTGCTGAGGGAGGAGCTGGTGGGGGTGGGAACTGGAGCTGGGATCGTTCCAGCCAGACCCCACCTCCCTTCCCACTCCGGGAACTGGAGACGTCCCTGCTGCCACAGTGACTCCCACGGCACCGCCTCAGTCACCCACGGGGGTCCCAAGCGTGGAAAAGGAACGGAGCTGCAGGAACCACCCCCTCCCCCAAAGGTTTTCTCGCTGCTTTTACAGCTCCTCCCTCTTCAAATCCCGTCAATCCAGCGACCTCCCCTCCGTGCCCGCGGCTTCCCCCGGGAGCTGCTCCCGGGATCTGACTCCTCCGGGGGGCTCCCAGGGCTGGGGGAAAGGAAAACGGGGCCGGGGACTCACCCGGTGTCCGACTCCAGGCACACCACGGGCGTGTCCGTGGGGTCGGAGCTGAGCTTGGCCGCCTGCTGGGCCAGCACGGAGATGATCCCGGCGTGCTCGTCCGAGAGGGTCCCTCGGCCTGGGGGGAGGGGGCGACACGATGGGGGAAGAAGCCCCGTGTGAAGCCCGTTTGCCTCCCCCAGGCCAAGGAGGGGGGGCTGATCCTTCCTCATCCCACTCCCCTCCCTGTGGCGTCTCCCCAAACTCGCCCTCAAACCACCCAAATTATCTCGAATTTTAGGTGGCTCTGCAGGTGGGTGGTGGCCCCCTGGGGACACCCAAAGGTGGGGTCAGGACAGCAGGGCAGGGGCTGGGGTCCCTAAAATGGGGACAAGGCCAGGTACCCCCAAACAGGTTGGGGGGGTTCCTGTAGGGCCAGTCCTGGTGCCTCCCCCCGTGGAGTCCTTAGAGGGTTTGGGGAACCCCCGATATGGGACCTCACACCCACAGAAGCCCTTAGAGGGTATGGGAAGAACATGGGGGGACCCACTCGGCGCTCCCCCTCTCCCCACCCGGGAGTCCCCAGACGGGACGGAGAGACCCGGGACCCCCAACCCCGGTGCCCCCCGAACTCCGCCAGCCCTCGGGGGGCCCCCCCGCGCTTTGCTCACTCACAGCCCAGGTTGAGCCCCTGCGAGTCGGTGCACAGGACGCCCACCACGGCCGGGCTCTTCATGCTGGGGGAGGGACACACACAGCGCTGTCAGGGCCGGGATTAAACCTGCACCTCCCTCCGCCCCGCAGCGTCGGGCCGGCCCAGCCCCGCTCCACCACCCCCTCCCTGTCCCCTCCGACTCCTCCGTCCCCTCCCTGTACCCCTCCCGTCCTCTCCCTGTACCCGCCCCTGTCCCCTCCGTGTCCCCCCCCTGTCCCCCTCCGCCCCCTTCCTGTCACCCCCGTCCTCTCCCTGCACCCCCCGTCCCCCTTGTCCCCCTGGCCCCTCCGTGTCCTCCGTGTCCCCCATCCGTCTGTCCCCTCGACCTCGTCCCCCATGTCCCTCTCGTCCCCTCCCTGTTCCTCCGTGTCCCCATCCCCTATCCCCCTATCCCCCATCCCTCCCGTCCCCCTCTCCTCCCATCCCCCATCCCCACGTCCTCCTTCCCCGTGTCCCCCGTCCCCCATCCTCCGTCCCCTCTCCCTCCCATCCCCCTCACGTCTCCTCCAGGTGCTGCTCCAGGGTCCCCTCCATGGCCCCGCCGCCACTTCCGCCCCACTCCGGGCAGCTGCGTCACCACGTGACACCACCCCCCCATCGGACGGCGGCTCCGCGCGCCCAAACGGAGCCGTCCCGCGCTCAGCGGCAGCGGCGCCGCACCGGGAATCCCCCGGGAATCTCCCGCGACTCTCCCGAGATTCTCCCGGGATTCTCCCAGCATTCCGCACAACCCCTCACGCCGGCACCGTGCTCTGATTTGGGAGGGCGGTCGCAGCAAATCCGCACCCCCCAAATCAGCCCTCCCTGCGTGCTTTTTCCCCGCAGAGCGCGTGATAGAGATGCGATTTTGGTTTGGGATTTTTTTTTTAATCCCCCTCTCCTTTCTCGACCTTTTCCCGCCTCAGCGCGGTTTGGTTGCGTCCCGCTCCCTCCACGCAGCACCGCGCGGGGTTTGTGCAGCCAAATGAAATTCAGGCAGGGTTTTGGTGGAGTTCCTGCAACTCCTCCCCGGCCAGAGCATCCCCTTGGAGCTGGACCACGGTGGGGGATGCAGATTGGATGCAGGGACATGGGACGCCAGGATACAGCTGGACCCCAAAATTTGCAGTAAGACAAGCCGCGCTGGACCCCCATCACCTTCCCAGCGGGCAGAGAGGTGATAAAAGTGATTCTCAGCCCGGATTTCCATCGAGAACCCCCTCAAAATCCAGCCCCTGCCAGACTAACACACGCAGTGGCAGCGGAGTCAGGACCCCATCACCTTCCCAAGGGGCAGAGAGGTGTTAAAAGTGACCCTCAGCACGGTTTTCCACGGAGGACACCCCCCCAAAATTCATCCCTGCTGCCAGCAGGGAGTGGGAGGTGATTTACGGCGGAGCAGCCCAGAGCTGGGTGACGTTAATGAGGCCCCGGCTGCTCCTGCCGATGGATCCGGGCTTGGCAGGGCAGGAAATTAAAATGTTATTGATGGGGGGAGTGAAGTGCGGCAGGATCGTTTATTTTTTATTTATTTATTTATTTATTTATTTATTTTTAATGTGATTTTTCTTTCTCCCGGGTCCAGCTGGGAGCTCCCTCAGGCAGCACAAAGAGCCCCCGATCCCGACTGTCCAGGGGCTTCCCATTTCATCCCACCTGACTGGGAGGGATGGCTGCGACTGGAGTTGCCTTTTTTGGGGAGGTTTTGGTGGTTTTTTTTTTTCCTTTTCAATTTCTAGGAAGCAACACTGGACAAAAATACAAATGGAGATTTGGGGGCTGCATCCTCTCAGCCCCTTTGCAAGGAAACTTCCCAAATCCAGCCGTTCCTGGCTGTGGGATTTCGGGAAGGGGAGAGATTTTTGGGAGGGCTGGCATTGATTAATTCGAGCCCAGGTGGAGGAGACTTCAGTGATGCAGCAGCTGCCACATCAAAGGCTGGGCTGGGGGCATGGCAGTTTTGGGGCTGTTTTTAACTAATTAAAGCGATGATTTAGCACCAGATCGATCCTCTAAAACAAAATAAAATAAAATAAAAAAAAATTCCCCAGAAAAGCCCCACCAAACCGATATTTCAAATCCCAACCCACCTTGGATGATGTTTCCCACACGGGGCACCTCCTGGTGCCTGATTTGCCCCCATGGACCGGGTCTAGCCCCAAAATCAGCCTCGGGGTGTTTGTTCCTCAGTGGGAAAAGCCGGAAGAGATGGAATTTCTGATGCTGGTGAGGAGCTCTGATCCCACCGAGGTGGCACCTGCAATCCAGGGCTGGGAAAATCCATCTTGCTTGGTCAGAATCACAAATCCAGCTGCTTTTTTAGGGGGAAAATGGAGATTTTTATTCCCTGCCTTTGTTCCAAAAGGATCTCAGGCATCACCTCTGCCCCAGACAGCACTGGGAGCTTCGGCTGGGGAGCCTCAGACAACTCCAGGATCCCAGGATGGGTTGGCCATGGAAGGGTATTTACATTTTTACCTATTTTAATTCTCTTTATTGCTTATTTTGTGGCCGAGGCTTCAGGAATCTCTTACCCCCTGGTGGACTGTGGTGCCTGGGGGTGTTTGATTGGAGTCCCCAAGCCTCGAGCACCTTAGGATGTTGTGCTTTGCATCCTCACAGGATGAAGAAATTTAAAAAGAAAAGGGAGTAAATAATTCTACCTTTTCCCTGCCTTTTTTAGCCATCCTCTTATTCCCCTGCACTCCCAGGAGAGGCACCAAATGCAATTCGAGGTGGATGGGTCGTACTTTGAGCCATAAATCAACGTATTTACACATTGCATTCTGACTGAAATTATGAAAAAATACGTTATTCCTTCCCTGCCTTTTTTTTTTTTAATATTATTATTTTTTATTCTCCCAAATAAATATGCAGCCAAGTCTCCATTTCTGGGGGGATATTTATCACATTATTGCACCTTGGGCTCTTCCAAGTCGGGGAGGAGCGGTGGAACTTCGTTCTCAGGTTTTCTTTTGGCTAAATAACCCCCAATTTTTTAATTAAATTCTTCCACACACCTATCAAGGATACCTATGGATTTAGGGGTGTACTTGGAAAATCCAGTTGAGCTGATAAATCCCCCTGGGAATGGGGTGTGGGTAGGAGGGAGGGGACTTTTATCCCCCCCCCTGCCTTTCTTGATGGTTTATTAATATTTCTTCGATGCCATTGGAGATTCAGGTCTCATCTGCTCCTGGTGGGATCAGGAGGGGAGGAGAAAAAAAAAATAAAGTGGAGCTGGAGGGGTTATAAAGGGGGTGGAGGTGCGAGGCTGCTCAGAATTCCAGCACCATGGGCCAAATCCTGCGGCTCCTCTGCCTCCTCCTGCTCCTCAACTCCTGCCCCTGCGCCGTCATCACCGGGGTAAGTTCTGCTCCCACCCCACCCTGGGGTTTTTATTGATTCGCCCTCATTATGCTGGGAAATAACACAGCAATCAGGCCTTTGTGCTGTTTGGTTTGGGTTGTTCTTCCCCCCACCCCCATCACCCTTTTTCCCCAATTTATCACTCGTTTTTCCGACCTACGGGTGCTGTTCCCACCACCAGCACCTCCTCCCAGCAGGGAAATGTGGGATTTTAGGAAGTTTTCCAGCAGGTTAAAAACTGATGTGTCTTTATGGATGTGTCTCCAGAGCACGTTTCCAACTGGAACAAGGGCTCAGACACCCCGAATTGTCCTTTTCCCTCCTAAATTTAGAGGAATTATTAAACGAGGTGGGAGCTGTCAGGGTGCCAAGGGCAGGTGTTTGCTCACCCTGTCCACGGACTCAGGGTGTCCCTGAGCAAGCACTGGACTGAGGGAGCTGCTAAAAGTGAATTTTAGGGACAGAATCCAGTTTTTTGTGGTGCTTCCAGAGCCTGGATGCTGATCTCAGCAAAGCCAGGCTTGGCTGAACCCCTCTTTTCCCTCCAGTATTCAAGAAACCAAGCGTTTCCATCCCGCTGATTTCCCAAAAGGAGGGGTAATGATGCTTTCCTGGCTTTTCCCAGGCTGTGGGAATTTGGGGAGGATCTGGGCAGTGGGTTTATCCTTTGATTCTGCTGCTCTCTCTTGCTCTCCTGCAAACTTTCCCTCTGTGCCCCGTGTCCATGAGGGGTTTCCCCTCCATCCCACAAACCCCAGCACCCCAAAACTTCCCTGAAACCTCAGCCCAAACCGGCAATAACTGGGAACTGCCACCCCCAACTCCCCAGCGTGGGTTGATCCCACTATTAACCCCCCTCAAAAAAAGAGGGATAACGTTTCTTTTCCATCCTTCCTCCTCCTCCCCAGGCCTGCGAGCGGGACCCTCAGTGCGGCAGCGGGACCTGCTGTGCCGTCAGCCTCTGGCTGAGGGGGCTGCGGGTCTGCACCCCCCTGGGCCAGGAGGGGGACGAGTGTCACCCCTCCAGTCACAAGGTACAGGCTGGGAAAGGGGGGGGACAAAGGCCAGGAAGGGGCTCCGAGCTCCTCCCGTGGGGGGAAAGCTCCATTAAAGGCTGGGATGGGGAAGGGGTTGGTGTCGGGGGGAGGGGGGGGGTGTTGGGAGAGTGGCTTTCCGGGGAGGAGGAACTGGTTCCTGAGGATCTGGGGTTGCCAGCGCTGCTCACAGCGATGCTGTCACGCTTCTGGATTGTGATATTCCAAGGAAAAAGTGCTGAGGGAGGTGAGGAGGTGGCTGTGGTGGGGGTGGGAACTGGACAAGGGAATGCAGGTCCAGACCTGTCCGTCTCCATCTCTTCTTCCCACTGCCCTCTGAACTCTGGAATGGAGGTGGGGGATTCAGGGGGCAATGTGGGGGAAGGCTCTGGGTGGCATAGTGGGGTCCCAGAGCTGGGGCAGCTGTTTCAGCCTCTGCATTATTTTGGGCGATCCCCTGCGTGTCCACAGCCCCCTAAATCGTGGAATCGTGGAGTGGTTCAGGGTGGAAGGGACCTTAAAAATCACCTCCTTCCACTCCCTGCCACGGGCAGGGACACCTCCCACCAGCCCAGGTTGCTCAGAGCCCCATCCAACCCGGCCTAGATCCCTCAGGAATGCTGTGGACCCTGACTGGGAGCCGGGGTTGAGCCGCCAGCCCATCCCTTTGCAGGCAAAGCACAAACCACACCGCTCCAAACCGAGCCATAAACGCCCCTCCGAGCCAGGAGAAGCCAAGTTAAATCCTCAGAGCTCCCTGATTCCCGCGGGATAAGAGCCCCCAGCACACCGGGATTAGCCCAGAGCTCGGTGCAGCCGCATTCCCTGTTCCAGGAGGATTTAGCAGCAGCATCCCAGCCCCGGGAAGAGCTTCCCCCTCCCCGTACCTGTATCGATTGAACGCTCCGGGAGCGAGATTTAATGGCACTGCACCTCCTGCTGGCACACGGAAAGGGCTTCAGAGGGATCACAAACTCATTTCAGCCACGTCCCCGTTAAACCTCGGAGAAAATCCGCCGATTTTTCTCAGGGTCTGCGGTCCCACTGATCATTTCTTCTCGTTTCTCTCCTTGTTTCCCGCAGGTGCCGTTCTTTGGGAAGCGCCAGCACCACACCTGCCCCTGTTTGCCCCACCTCATGTGCTCCAGGTTCCTCGACAGCCGCTTCCGCTGCTCCGCCGACCTCAAAAACATCCATTTTTAATGGGGGGATTCTCCCTAAAAAAAAAAAATCCACCCGTGAGCCCACAGCGTGTCCTGCCCTTTCCCACGGCTGTCAGGTGCCCACACAGCCAGGCGGCCTCCAAGTGCTTTCCTGAGGTGGAGAGTGTTGTTTTGAGCTGCTCTGTGGGGGAAATCGAGGCCAAGCTGCCCCAACACGTGGCCCAGCAAAGCTCTGTTTTCTAATCCAGGCACACCATAAATTTTGGGATCTGAAGCCCAGCAGCATCATCTCATGTGCCAGAGCATCTGCAGGGCTGGGGGGAGACCTGGTTTCACTTAATTGTTTTTTTTTTCCAGGAAAAAAAAAATAGAGGGGCAAAACTTCATTGTGAGGGGAGCATTTTGATCAACACCCAAAATTGCAACTCATGCCCAAATTGTCCCACATCACAACCTTCTGCAGCACCCTCAGAGCTGCTTTTTCTCTGCCATTCCCACTGGATAAATCAGTTCTGGAATGATAATCCCTGTTGTGATGCTGCCTGATCGAGGCTTATCAGGACGATCTAATCTGACCCGATTAAACGATCTAATCTGACCCACAATTAAATCAAATCCATAGCAAGTAGCTGTGGGGAATTAAGGGATGGCTTTCCCCAGATTTTGAGCAGGAAGAGGCTGAAGCAGAGCTGGTTGGAGCCGTGTTGTGCCAGTTGTGGCTCTTTGGGAAGCAGGAAAATGTTTTCCAGCCTCGGCATCCCCCTGAGGTTCAGGCACCTTGTGAGGGTTTTGGGGCTTCTCTTTCTGCCAGGTGAATTTGAGAGGAGAAGGGGACATTAAAGGTCATTAAATGTGTCACTAAAAGTGATCTTGGACACGTGTTTGCAGTTCTGCTCTTGAAATACATCGTGGAAAACTCGTGTGTCACTCGAGTTTTTCTCCCCCTTCCTCAAGCAACAATAAAGGCAAAGAATAAAGAACAATAATCAGCATTTATGGCAAAAAAAAAAAACCCTCTAAAAATTATTGGGAGCCTTTCAGGCAGAAGCAGGGCTTGAACACAGAATTTAACTTTGGGTTTGGGTGCTCCTTGTGCAGAAATGATCTTGGAGTTTGGTGCTGGGGCAGGAAGGTCTCACTCTTGGGTGAGGCCTGGCCTTGGTGGGGTTTTGGTGGGATTTGGTGGATTTCAGTGGGGTTTTCTGGGGTTTGGATGGGTTTTGGTGCTACACCAACACCTATTTCTATTTCTCAAGCTTTCACCCCTCCATCAAAGGACACCCATGTGTGGCTGTGGCAGACACTGTATTGGGATTTGGTGTTTGAGGCCAGGCAAAAGCCTCTCTGCACTTGTTCTTCCCCCAAAAATTAATTAAAAAACCCCAAACCAAACCAAAACAAAACAAAACAAAAACCCCAAACAAAACAAAACAAAACCAATCAAACCCCACAAAACCAAAACCTCCAAAATAATAATAATAATAAGTATAAAAAGAAAATTCATAAAAAGAAACCACTGCGATGACCAGGTTGAATTTATTTAGGGTGGGAGGGTTTTTTTTTTTTGTTTCACACAACAGAATTTTTGCTTTTAATTTATAAAAGTCCTGCATCATCTGCACAGCTGGGTGAGTTTGTGGCACTTGTGAACACCACAAAAAAAGAAAAAAACAAAAAAAAACAACCTAGAAATGGATCTCAGAGCAATACAGAAGGGGGAAAAGTCAAGAAAAAAAACATAATAATTCATAAAAGTGTATATATATATATATATATATATATATAGTTTTGTGGGGGCTGGGAGAGAAATCCAAGTCCCTGCTGCTCCTTCATTCCTGCTGTGCTCGACAAGACCTGCAGGAGCCCCCAGAGTGCTCTGAGTGAGTGGGATGTTGGTCCTTGTCCCTAAATGCTGTGCCAGGAGGCAGATCCTAAACCCTCCTGGCGTGGCCATCCTGCACCAGTGCCCAGAGCCCCTGGAAAACACCACCCTGGAATGGGATTCCTCCATGGGATCATCCCTCCCCAGCCAGGAAAACCCTGCTCACATCCGTGCTCACACATGCAATAAAGGAATAAACCAGCTGAAAGCTTCCAAGCAGGAATCAGAGAGAGGAAAACACGCGTCTGGACTGGCTCCAGCAGGGAATGTCTGGCCTGGAGTGCCATCTCCTGGCAAAATCTGAGCTCCTGTCAGCCTGGAAGTGTCCAAGGTCAGGTTGGATGGGGCTTGGGGCAACCTGGGCTAGTGGAAGGTGTCCCTGCCCGTGGCAGGCTGATCAAAGGGTGATTAAAGATCACTCTGGGTGATCTTTAAGGTCCCTTCCAACCCAAACCGTTCTGGGGTTCCCTGGAAATTCCACTCCAAGGAGGAGGGAGATGTTTCTGGGTGACCAAATATTTCACACCTGGCCGCAGGTTCTGATTTGTTCCAGGGGTAAAAAGCAGCCAGGAAACATCTTCTTTTGATAAAGCGGAAGGGAGATTTCTTGCCTGCCTTTTAGGTTTTCCTTTGGCAAAATTTCCAGAGGGAATTCAGTCAGGGAGGACAGGAAGGATTGGTTCCTCAGGACTTGAGTCCAGAACAGGACTGAGAGCTTTGTATGGATTTCATTGAGCTCTGAGCTTTGGGCTTGCATTTGGGAAGGCACCAAGCTGCAAAATGTGCAGGAAAATGGGGTTTTCCCACGGGCTTTTATCAAGCACCAGCTGAGTGTTGGCACTTTGAATTCTCAGCCTGGTTTTCCTGATCTTTAGGATAAATAGGAAGGAAGTCAATGAGTCCTGGAGGGGTTTCATGGCTCTGACCCCATCCTTGTGACATAAATCAGGGGTTTCCTTTTGGAGCTGGCTCCCCACAGGGGATGGTGGGGAGCCAAACTGCTGGGGAAACCTCTGCAGAGCTCACAGATCTGGAGATTTATAATTATCTGTTGCCCAGAGAAGCTGTGGCTGCCCCATCCCTGGAAGGGTCCAAGGCCAGGTTGGATGGAGCTTGGAGTAACCTGGGATAGTGGAAGGTGTCCCTGCCCGTGGCAGGAGGTGGAATGAGATGAGCTTTAAGGCCCTTCCAACCCAAACCCTTCTGGGATTCTATACTGTCCTGCCCTTCAGCCCTCCCACACACAATTCCCAGCTGGGGACCGGACGGAATTCCCAGCTGGGAGCAGCACAAAGCCAAGAACAAAAAGCTGAGTCCAAATAAACAATGTTTCCTGCATGCCAGACTTTGAAGCATTTATTCCTTTATTTGAGGATAAAGTTTACAAGTCAATAAGAATCAGGTTGTTCATCCTTCCATCCATCCACCCACCCACCCATCCATCCCAGCACCATTGTGGTCCGTGTTTGCTGAGGGAGCAGAAGGAGGGATGAGCTCATGGCCGAGTATTTCCCAAGGAATAATCAACAAAAGTGCTTCAGGTTCGAGGGGCTGGGAGAGAATCTGGGCGAGGGGGGAGCATGAAAAACGTTAAAAGAAGGTAAAAAGTTTTAAGTTTTCCAGAGGAAAAGGAAAAGAGAGGCTGTTGTGAAAGGAAAATAGGGATGTGGATGATCTGATGGAGAGAACTGAGCGATAAACGGGGAGGAGCTGGGGATGTTCCCAGCTGTTCCCAGCTGTGCCTCCTCCAATCATCCCCACAGATGAGCAGAATTTGGACACAGTGGGAAGGAAATCCAACATCCCTCACAGCTTCTCCTGTCTGAGATGACTGTAGGGAGTTTGTAAGGGATGGAGGAAAGAAAAGGATAGTGGAGGGGAGGGAAAAAAAAACAACCAGGGAGGGCAGATGAAAAGGGGGATTTGTCCCAAATGGAAGAGGATTTGTGCTTGTGTGTCTCTGATCCATCCCCTGGGATGCGAAACACCTTTATTGCAGAAAGACAGTGCACCAAAAAAACCCCAACAAACAAACCCCCAAAACCAAACCAACAACAACAACCACCCCTGCAATCAGAGCTGTGGGATTTCTGCCACAGGGAGGGGGGGGAATCCCAGCAAGCCCAAACTCGCATTTCCCATCACACCAGGATAACAAAAGCCAATCCCTGTTTCCCCAGTGCTTCCTGAGCGAAGCTGCAAAGCAGGGGTGGTGGAATGTTCAGGAGATGAGACACCAAAGGGAGCAGATGTGGGATAACAGCGGATGGGAGAAGAAGAAACTGTGATTTGATGAAGGCGGAGACGTCCAAAAAAAAAAAATAAAACCAGCTGAGTGAGGCAGTGAAGTGGCAACAAAATGTCTTTGTCAGAAGAAAACCTGCTGGCACTGGAGAGAAAGGCAAAATGAGCTGCTGCTGGCTTCTCCCCTCGCAGTGCCAGTGGAGATTTGCAGGGTTTAAGCAAACCAGAAGTGCCTTTTCACAACAAGGGAAGCAATCGGGCCTTGTTTTCCCCGTGGATTTTCTCTGGGCCGCTTTTGCGGCGAACAGAAGTGGCAATAAGGACTACAGGGCCACGGTGGCTCGTCCCCAAACGTGCCTGTACATCAGGTAACCCCCAAACTGAGCATTTGCTGCAGGAGAAAGGCCATTTTGTTGCAGGGGAAATCCCGTTACCTCTCTCAGAGCTCGGTTTTCCGTCACAACCCCCGGTGTCCTGGATGTTCCTCGTGGCTGTGCCACCATTCCTGGTCACCATCCCTGCCCTTCTAATCCCCTCACCTGCTGGCTTGGGCCCATCCATCACTGCTGTGCCCAGCAAAGTTAATTAGTCAGGCAGACCAGGGGAACTCAGCCAGCTAAAAATATCCCTTCTAATTTCTTTTTGCCGGCTTCTTTTTCAGGCAGAGCAGTCCCAGGTCTGGGAATTCGGTCAGACCCCCCCAGATCTGAAGTGGTGCGTGGAGGAGGGACTATTTACATGGATTAAAGAAACAGGGAGCTGGACCCACCTTCATCCCTGGACAGTTGGGTGCCACCAAGCAAAGCATTTCATGTCATTTTGCCCTTTTTTCCTCTCCAGTAAACGGGGGAAATCTCTGACTGTGGGGGAATTCCACTTTAACACACGGACAGGGGACAAGAAATGTAAAAGCAGATGAGCATCAAATAAAAAAAAAAAAAATACCACCAGGTCGATGGGCAGGGCAGAGAGATAAGAAAGATGGTATTTATTTGAACAGCCGCAGGAAATCAAGAGATTGAAAAATGTCTAATAAAAAAAAAAAAAGGAAGAAAAAAAAAAAAGAAAGAAAAAAAAAGAAAGAAAAAAAAGAAAGAAAAAAACAAGAAAGAAAAAAAAAGCAGCAGCATATTTGATTTTAAAAAATAAATAAATAAATCAAATCAGAGCGTGCAGATGTTTGGATACCTTTCTCCTGTTAACGCCACCTGACAGGGCCCAGTCCCGTCACGGCCTCGGGCGTCATTTTTTGGCCTTGTCTCGAGGGTAACCCCCGTTGGTCTTGTTGAGGGACTCCATGCTGCCGCTGCCCGCCGTGGCCACGCTGGCCAGGAGCCGCTCCACCTCCCCGGGCAGCATCTGCTTCTCCTCGTTCTCCGTCTCGCGGTGGTAGAAATAGTTGAAGTTCGAGACGATGACGGGCACCGGGAGGGCGATGGTCAGCACGCCCGCGATGGCGCACAGGGTGCCCACGATCTTGCCGCCCAGCGTGGTGGGGCACATGTCGCCGTAGCCCACCGTGGTCATGGTCACCACGGCCCACCAGAACCCGTCGGGGATGCTGGAGAAGTGGGACTGCGGCTCGTCCACCTCCGCGAAGTACACGGCGCTGGAGAAGAGGATGACGCCGATGAAGAGGAAGAAGATGAGCAGGCCCAGCTCCCGCATGCTGGCCTTGAGGGTCTGGCCCAGGATCTGCAGCCCCTTGGAGTGGCGGGAGAGCTTGAAGATGCGGAAGACCCGCACCAGGCGGATGATCCGCAGGATGGCCAGGGACATGTTCTGCTGCCCGTTGAGCTCGCTCTGCTGGATCAGCTCGGTGGTGAGCGTCACGAAGTAGGGGATGATGGACACGATGTCGATGATGTTCATGATGTTCCTGAAGAACTCGGTCTTGCTGGGGCACACGATGAAGCGCACGAAGAGCTCGAAGGAGAACCAGACGATGCAGGCGGTCTCTATGACGAAGAAAGGGTCCGTGAAGGTGCTGTGGGCCAGCAAGGTGTCCGTCACGTTCCTAGAAAGCTCCTGGGCAGACTTGAACTCCCTCTCCTCCCGGAACTCCGGCAGGGTCTCCATGCAGAAGATGATGATGGAGATGACGATAACCAGGACGGAGACCAAAGCTACGCCCCGGGCTGCGCTGGAGCTTTCGGGGTACTCAAAGAGCAGCCAGAATTGCCTGTGAAAGTCATTGGTTGGTAAGAGGGTCTCAGGATCCTTGATGAACCCTTCATCCTCCCTGAACTGGTCCATGGCCTCATCCCCCAGCTCGTAGAAGGTGATTTCATCAGCAAAGACGTCGATGGGGACGTTGGCCGGGCGCCGTATTTTGCCGCCGGACTGGTAATAGTACAGGATCCCATCAAAACTGGGCCTGTTCCTGTCGAAGAAGTACTCGTTCCTCATGGAGTCGAAGTAGCGCATCCTCTTCTCCGGGTCCCCCAGCAAGGTCTCGGGGAACTGGTCGAGGGTCTTGAGCCGCGTCTCAAACCTCAGCCCGGCAATGTTGATGATGACTCGCTGGTCCCCCTCATCCATGCCCACCCTCTCCCCCACCAGGTGGTCGCTGAACTCGGCGGAGAACCTGGAGAAGATGGTCTCATTGTTGGCGTTCTCGCTGTTGATGAGGATGCGCAGGTTGGAGAGCAGGTTGGCGCAGCTGGGGTGGCCCTTGCGCGACTGCCCGGCGGGGCTGAGGTCGTTTGAATAACAGGGATCCTCCACGATCTGGTCGGCGTTGTCAAAACTGACTAGTGCCACCTCCATCTCCTTCCAACTGGACACGTCCATCATACACTAATCAGATTAGCAGCGCAAATCCCCGGATCCGGCGCCGGCAGCTCGAGCCTTTCCCACGCTATGAGGATCTGCAAGGGAAGGGACAGGGAGGCGATGCTGAGTGGGGCTGGGCACACAGGTCACTCAGAGAGCACCTTCCAGGCCGTGGGGTGGGTTATTTCCCAGACAGGCTCTGGCAGGTGCTCAGGAACAGCCACTGTGTCCCCAAAACGCTCCCGGGCATCTCCCCAGCACAGCACTGACATTGCTCTGAACTCGCAGCAAAGTCAAAGACGAGCCCAGGGACCAAGTTATGGAGCTGGGAAATTACCTGTCCTGCCTCGAGGAGAGAAATTAGGTGTTAACATGGAACAGTTCTGGGGAGATTTGCCCCAAAATGAACTTTTCCAAGTAAACCCAACATCCCGATTTGCTGACGGGAGACAGCACGGAGGGACACGCGGGGCTGCTCCGTGTGACCACGGACCACCAAGGCCACCAAGTGGCTCCCTGCCCCAGGGGAACTTCAGCAGGAGGGAGTGAAAAAAACCCAGATGCCCCTGGACTGCCAGGAATAGCAGCACAATTGAGGCCACGGAGCAGCAGCGATGCCGGGGCCGGTCCTGTGACGAGGATGGTCCCCAGCGCAGGGTCTGCTCAGTCCATCCCAATTTCACAGAAATAATTTAGGGCTGTGAAGTTTTTCTCCTCCCCAGAAGCAGATTTGTCCATCCCTGCTGACACACAGCCGGGAAAGGGGGGGTAGGACAAGCCCAAACCCCAAAATCTGTTGCAGAAATAGACTTTAACATCCTGTCTTCTACAAATCCTCCCTCTCCTCCTCTCAGCTTTGCAGCCCTGGCAGCAAAACTTCCTACAGGAACCAGCATCCATATACCAGACAAGGGTTCAAAACCTCACTCTTTTCCTCAGCAGAGATCCTGGATTTGGGGACAAATCCCACAATTTTTTCATAAGCTGTTTTCCAGACCGTGTCCCTTTGCCTAAGCCAAAGCCACAGAGCAAAGCTGTTTCTAGGAATCCATCCCTGTGGAACCACTTTGGGTTGGTTTTGTGCCAATTTTCCCACTTAGGGGACACGGAGAAAAGAGTGTTTGGGGCAGGGGGGCAGAACTGATGCCTGGGGGAAGCAGCAGACACGAGGTTTTGCCCCTCAAAGGGATGTGCTGCAAGTCCTGAGTCCTCCAGCCCTGGTGATGTCCAGCTTGGAGCTGCTCCAGCCCAAGGACCAGCTCTTCATGGGGGTTGGATTCTTCCCAGGCTTAACTATTTGGTGACCCTGTGAGAAGCTGGTGCTGGAGGGACGGAATGTGACATCAGAGCAACAGCTCAGAGCTGGGGATAACCCTGATTTCAGGAGCATCAGGAGGCAGACAAAGGAACACCACAAAAAGCCCGGCCCAAACAATGCCCTTTGCAATCTTTTGAGGGAAAGCCAAGCATAAAAGACAAAAGAAAGAAACAGCAGCACAAATCATTTCCCCCCCTCCTCCCCGCTGTGCATCCTTATTTTTGTCCTTAATATAAATCCCCTGAGAGGATTTTAAATCTGAAAAAAAAAAAAAGGTAAAGAAAACAAGTTTGAATCAGAGTTTAGTGTTCAGTGGATGGGGGAACAGACCTGACCCATCACACCTCCATCCTGGGGGGAGAACCCAGTGGGGTCTCACCTTCCCAGGAGTTTCTCCTGGCAGTGGGACAAAGTCAGAGCAGCTAAAGCTGACCATGGAATTGCATCCTAAGGCAGCGCCATGAGATGATCTTGGTATTTTAAGCAATAAGTTCTAAGTGTTTAACTGGTAATAGTGCTGGGCAAGAAAGTTCCTCAGCCCCTGCTTGCAGGGCATCTTCATCCCAAGATTGTTGGTTGCAGAAGGCATTTTGTGATGTCTTGAAATATGGCATGGAACTGAATTTTGAAATCTGGCTTTGCTCTGGAGCCTCCAGGAACGTCAAACCGAGCCCCCCTGCATCATCCCTTGAGGGGAAACTGAGGCACAGAGCTATGACAGGACAATTTACACATCGTGGACAAGGTTGAAAATTGTCCCCACTGGGACAATGGAAAGGGGATTTTCAGTCCTGTTTTAAGCAGGGCTCTGAGGTTCCTTTTCCTACCTTAAAGCCCCAAATTGTGCTGATGTCTGTCTGTCCCAACACCAGAGGGAGGTGCCCCATCTGTCCCCAGGCCCCCACACCACCTTCTGTGTCTCATTTTCTGTTTAAACCAAAATTAAAGGCCCATCCCAAAGCCACAACCCCCCCTTTCCAAAGCTCTTCTCCTGCGCTGCGGCCGAGGCTTGGACTGGAAAGTTGCCTCTTTTTTCCCTCCTAAATCACCCAACATCTGCTTCTCGGAATCTGATTAACTGATATCCTTCAGCAGAAATCCCTGGCTGCGGAAAATAATAGTAATATAATAATAATAATAAAAACCACAGGAGGGGGAGCAATGGAGAGAAGAGGAAGGTCATTTTGAGGGGGAGTTCATGTGTTCGCACATCCCGTCCCAGGAAATCAGGGCTGGGGCTTCCACCGGCCCCTCTGTATCCATCAAATCCTGGAATTGTCCTACACTTCCCATCCATCCCACTTTCAATCTCCCTTGCTCTGCTGCAGGCAGAAAATACCTGTTTCCAAGGTTTTCCAGAAAAATGGAGGTGCTGTCACCCCATGACCACTTAATGGGATGGTAAAGGGGGGGTGATTCTTTCCCACTGCCCACCCACACGAGCCCCTACAAGGACTCACCTGGGCAGGGCATGGAAGCGCCAGCACTCTCTGCATCTGGAAAAAGAGCCATTAACCACACGTGGAGAGGTGCAGGGAGAGCAGAGACGGGGAACAAAGCAGTCCAGCCGCACCCTTGGAAGGTCCCTTTGGGATAACGCAGCCAATGTCATCCGAAAGGCTCCCCTCTCTCGGCTCCACCGTGTCATTGGCCGGGGACGGATTTTGGCAGGCACAGCAGCGGTGGCGGCGCCCGGCACGGTTGGGAACCGCCATCCCCCCCCTCCTTCCCCCGGGGAGCCCTAAAAACAGCCGGGGGCCCACGAGGAAACGGGGCTGGCCGGGTGCGAGGGGCATCCCATGGCCGTGCCCTGCTCGCCCCGGGGAGAGAGGGGGGGATGCGGCCACCCACCCCCTGCCCCCACCCGCCCGCTGGGCAGTGAGGATGTGCCCTTCTGGCTGATGCCACCTTTAATCCCCAATAAAGCTGCGGATGGTCCAGCGGGGACAGGTCTTGTCCGTGACGTGGAGAGGTCTGAGCTGGTCCCCGGGAGAGAGAAGAGAGAGAGAGAGGCGGAGAGCGGGGACAGGGACCCGCGCTGGCACCAGGAGAGAGGTTCCCAGCGGGCAAAAGGGCTCCTTTTGGCATTACCGTCTAATAACGATGTGAAAAAGGGCAGGGGAGGGGAAAGCCCGAGGGTTGGAGCATCCCGCGGTGCCCACCTACCTCTCGCCTGTGGCCACGGGGACAGCGGGAGCTTTTCCAGGAGGGGACGGTGCCACCACCACGTGGGACACCTCCTGTCCCCACCCCGGGCGTGACTGGGGCCAGTCGCGGCAGCAGGTACGGCTGGCACGGCCCTGCTGAGGGCATCGCTGGGGAACAGGGGAGAGGGGTTGTGCCCCTTCCTCACCCCTGGATCTCAGCTGGATGCTGGCTTGTCACCACCTCTGCTAATGAACTGATAAATCACCGAACACCCAGGGCGGGTGGGACCAGGCAGGTTGGCCCCGCTCACTGGAATAACTGGGATTTTGGTTTGCCTTTCCCGTATTTTCCTTCTTTCCACTCCACGCTCATGGCCACCCTTGGGGGCTCCGGAGGGTTTTCATCCCTGTTGGGTGGATCCCAACCTCTACCTTCACCCAGGTTACCTTCCCACCTTCCTCCTCCTCCTCCTCCTCCCCAGGCATTTGGGAAGGCAGAGGAGGGGGTGGCACATTTTTCTCCCCGCGTTCTTCAGCCTGAATTCCTCCGCGGTGACGTTCCTTTGCTCTTGAGGGACACGGTCACCTCGATTTCCCTCCCTCCAGCATCCTTGGCTGTCCTCTGAGGTATTTTTCCCGCCCTGTGACGTTAATGAGCACATTAAACCTCCCTGTCCCGGAGGAGAGCCCGGCTTGGAGCATCCCATACTCATCTCCGGCCTTCTGTGATGGAAAGGGGACGTGAGATTGTCCAGACCTTTGTTCAGGCCCTTCAGGGCTGCTTTACCAGTTTATCCACCCCTTCTGCACCGGTGCAGGTTACAGTCCTCACATTTCCTCTCGTCCCAGCTGGGGATCTATCGAGAACAAGGAATTCAATCGATATTCTTGGCACTTCAATTCACCCCGAGTCCGTTTTCCCCTCCAAACCCGGCTTTGGCAGGGCTTTGACCGCAGGGTGATGGGGTTTGTAGGCAAAATCTGACCTTATTTGAGGTTGGTTTTTTTGTCCCTAACATCTGCCTGGAACGAACCAGGGTCACACCCTGCGCCCGCACAAAGAGCATCTGCGGCTGAGGGAAACGCCGAGAGCGAAAACCATCCAGGGGAGCCGCTGATCTGGCTTGTGCCGGGGCTGAGAGGCTTTAGCTGTTAATAGGAATATCCCTGGAGTCAAAGCAGGGTTGTGGTCCAGGGGAGACGGGTACAGGGGGGGAGATGCCCGGAATAACATCGCTGCCTCCAAGAAATAGGGCGGTTACACAACTCCCGCATCCCCGGAGGGTTTGGCCGCACCCCGGACACCCCCGGGAGATTCTGCCTTTGTGTTCAGCCCAAGGTGACTTTAAACACCCTTTGGCACTAAGATTTCAACCTCTCCCAGCCAGGCTGCCCCAGGCATTCCCTCTGGCACTCCTTTCCTTCTAATCCTCTCCCCCGCCCTCCTGGTGTCCCCCAGCGCCGCTGGAATTTATCCCACGGGCAAATTTGGACGCCGAGGGCGTCCTGCATCCAGGAGGGACCGGGATCCAGCGAGTGATGGCACGGGATCACTGCCCAGCAGCGCTGCACACACAGCTCTGACATCAGAGGGGAGACCAAACACCCACCCCCAGCCCCACCCAGCGCAGAGAGGGATTATCCGGCGAAGGAGGGAGTTTTGGCAGCAGGTCCCTGAATTGTTGTTCGCACAGGAACCTTCGTTCTCCCAGCGGGGAAAAAAAAAGTGCGGCTCGTCACCGTTTCCCTGGGATCTGACACGGGACGAGCTGGAGCGGGGTGGGAACAAGGAGAGGACGACAGGGACGACAGGAACATAACGAGGCGGTGACACTCGGGTTGGGTTTTCCCTTATTCCCAAGCAAAACGATGCCTCTGGAAATCCATGTGGGGCCGGGCTGTGCCCTGTGCCGGGCACCAGCTTCGGTCCACAGAGCCTTCCACTGCAGTAATGAGCCTTTGCTAATTATTCTCGCTCTCTTTGCAGCGCTAATTACCTGGAGTTCAGCTCGATTCCAGCCCCACGGCTCCGGGATGGAGCTGAGGTGGCTCCGCTGCGCCTCCACAGTGGGAATTTTTCCTTCTTCCCTGCTAATTGAAGTGCCCCTCAATTAGCAACACCACGCCCCTGCACGCGGGAGGGGATTTTGGGGGGTGCGATATGCGAAAAGACACAAATTAAACACTTCAATGCCCTCGATTTAGGGCTGAGTTTATGAATATTTGAGCTCTGGCTCGGGCACAGAGAGTCCTTGGATGCTCAGTGAGGTGCCCGGGGCACCTGCCGTGGGTGGAGCAGGGCAGGAGTCACCTCTGGAAGGAAAAGAAGGAGCTGCAGGGGGGAGATCCTGCAAAAAACTTCGAGGCTCACAAGAGGTGTGTGCAGATCGAGCTGTTTAAATTGAGGGAACGAGCAGGAGGGGGGGAGAGATGCTGGTGGTTTGTGAGTGATAAAAATACAGGAAAGAATAATTCCAGTCTTCCAGGGGGTGACAGGGTGTGGGAAAAGCTGCCTCTGCTGTCAAGTCCTCCACGTGGGGATAGTGGAGAAATGGAAAAGGGGCCAAAATACAGCGAAATATTTGGCAATCCCAGGGTTTCTCCTGCCCCCACCACGGCGTGGAGGATTCCAGGGCTCAGGAGCAGCTGGTCCTGAGACTCCCTTGTTTTTAAAGCAGAGGTTAAAGTGAGTCTGAGGCAAAGAGGGGGTAGGACTTTTCATATTTAAACCCACAAATTGTCTTTAAACTGCCAGAGGGCAGGTTTGGGTGAGATAATAGGGAGAAACCCTTCCCTGGGAGGGTGGGCAGGCCCTGGCACAGGTTGCCCAGAGAAGCTGTGGCTGCCCCATCCCTGGAAGTGTCCAAGGCCAGGTTGGACAGGGCTTGGAGCAACCTGGGCTAGTGGAAGGTGATCCCTTCCAACCCGAACCAGCCTGGAATTCTATGCAGTTGCACCAGGAAATAAAAGATCAGCCTGAAACATCAACCACCAACCCCAACGAGCTACTTCCCTCTCTGTGCCTCAGTTTCCCCGGAGCTGGTGTCGTGCTCTCTGGGCAAAGATGTACATAAGGGAGATCCCAAAGTGAATTTCTGGCCCTGGGATGGAGGTGTCCATCCCTGCAGGGGGAAAAACACCCCCCTAACCCTCCCCTCTTCTCATGCTTCATTCTGATTTTTCCACTCCGGAAAAAAAAAAAAGAAAAAAAAATCAGATTATCATCAGAGAGCCCGGGACACAAAGTACACGCCACGAGACAGATGAAACCCTCCTCATAGCCAGCCATAGAGCCCAAAATTAATCAGCTACGGATTAACCGGGTCAGGATGTAATTTAATAACAAGTGAGGGCGAGTTCCTGCTCGATGTGGTCCCACACCGGGTGTGCCTGAAAGCTGCTGCAGCCCAGCCCAGGTAGCAGGGAAAATGGAAAAGCCAGATGGGATGAAATGAGCTCTGCAGGGCTGAAGGGATGGGGACAACCTGGGTCCGGGCCAGGCTTGGCTGCAGCTGAGCCCTCCTCGTCTTCCCGAAGGGCTCAGAGTCGGGATTTTAACCTGATTCAGGAAGATTTAAATGGATTTTTGACTCTGAGGGTGCTGCGGCGGCTTTTTTTTTTGGGAGGGGGGGGGGATGCTGAAGCGGCCCTTTGGAGGCTGAAGGTCTGCCCTCCGCCGCGATTCACGAAGCAGGAGCTGCTGCCGAGGGTTTGACACGCTTTAGGGAGCATCTGGTGAATGAAACACGGGCACAAAACACTTTGGGCAGGGCTTTGATTAGCCTGGACCTGAAGAGACGTGAGGAAGGGGGTACCTGGAGTGACCTCTTCCCTCCCGAGCATCCTGGCTCCACCCGGGCGCCTGGATGGGGCCGGGGCAGGCAGCCACCCCCACCCCCCTTCCTTCTGCTTACTGCCCTGTAACACGAGGAAGAACTCGATCCCAAATCGATGGGAAACTTTCCCAGGCTGCCCAAAAGTGCTTGGGACGGAGGCAGAGCCGCCGCCCCCTCCCTGACCCAGCAGCCGGAGCTCGGGGCTGCAACCCCCGTCCCCTCCCGGGGAGGAGCGAATGACTTTGTCCCCCCCTCAAAATCCGCACCGGCAGCAAACCCTGCAGGAGGTCGGTGGCCAGAGCCAAAAGTGGATCGAAGGGATAAATGGGAAGCAATAGGAAGCTGCTAATGGGGTCAGACGGATTCCTGCACTGATCCCAAGGTTTGCAGCGACGGCACCGAGAGGAGCTCGCGGCGGGTTTGGGGTCCCGGCGTCGCTGGGGATTTGGGGCACCGTGCGCTGATCCAGAGCCAGTGCATAGATCGGGGCACCCCCCAGCACATCCCAACAGCCCCCCAGACACCCCTCACAGGTGAGGACGTTGTGATTCGGAGCCGGCAGCAAAAAGTAATTAAGAGTAATTAAGTAATTGAGATGGTGCCAATGAGACCCTCTGACTGCCGGTAAAGCCGGGGTTCATCCAGCACGCACCCGGTGATCGGTAGCACTTCACCCTCCCTCTTCTGCCAAGGACAAACTAAACTTCCCTTGTAGTCGCCGTGACCCCAAAAAATACCCTCCCCCCCCCCAAAAAAAAAAAACAAACCCAGAGACAAACAGCCCCGACTGCCCCAAACCCGCTCACCAACCTCTCCTCTGCTCCCCCCCACCACAAAACCAAGAAGGGAGCAACAAACCCGGCTTCTGCATCATCCTCATCCTCCCGCGGCGTGAAGGGGACCCCGGTCCCCCTGTTGGCATCGGCTCCTCCCTCGGCCGTGCCAGGCGGGGGCTGCCCGGCCGCGCTGCCCCTTCCCCTCTCCCGGGCAGGGCTGGGATGCTCCAGCCTCTCCTGCGGAAAGGCGATGCCGGTACCCACGTGAGCCCAGTGGGACTCCTTGCCCTCGTTCTCCTTGTGCCTGAAATGGGTTCTTGCTCCCTCCCTGCTGGGCCCTGCCCAGCAGCGGCAGCGGCAGCAGCGACGTCCAGGACTCCCAGGCACTTCTTATCCCGCTCCAAAAGTGCTCCACGGTCTTTTCTTTGCGAGGAAGGAGCAGCCTGAAGCTCAGGAGGAGGAGGAGGAGGAAGAGGAGGAGGCCTTTTCTGTCCCCTCCATGTAGAGCTGCTTGCTGGGACAGGGCTGGTCCCACAGGGACCGTCTTTGTTTGCACCCAAGGAAGGAGCGTCTGGAAAAGCGGGAGACTCCGTTGCTCCCACCCCCAGCAGGGCCACACCAGGAGGGACCAGCCAGGTGGAGGCATCCAGGGTTCCTCTGGCCCTTTTTCCAAGGCACTTTTCCAACATCTGGGCCTGGCTTTGCTCTGGTGCACAGGAAAATCCTCCCTTCCCAGGAGCCTGTGCTTGCCATTACAGGAGTTCCCAAATTCCTGAAATTCAGGAGCAGGAGCTGCCTCCCCCAAAGGGCTTTTTCCATCTTGAGTTCATACGATCAGGGGGAACCTGTTCCTCCATGAGCCCCCCTGTGGGGGGGTGTCACACCTTGATGTGCCTCTCTGTGCCTTGGAATCAGCCTGGGGCAGCCCCTGGCAGGGGCTGGACAGAGGTTCTGGAGGTGGCCACGATCCCTCTGTGATTCTCAAGACCCACTGGGGTGTGACCATCACCCAGCTGTCGCCTCTTCAGGCAGCTGTTTCAACCCCCTGCCTGCTTTTCCAGCAGGATTTAATGAAACCACAACTACTTCCCTTTCCATTTCTCCCTCCAGCCCTTGCAGGGGCCTCTTCCTTCCCTCCCCGTCCCAAAACTTCACAAGCAAAAGCAAAAACCGAGGGCAACACCCTGGGAAGGGATCAAACACGTGAGGGTTGGGGGAGCACCAGCCAGGGAATTTCTAGACTGACCTCCAAAAGTCATCTGCATCCTGAATCCTCCTGCCAGCACCTTGGGATGCTGAGCTTTTCCCTCAAGCTTTATTCCATCCCTGTGTAATTGGGGCAGGTTTCCATGCTGTGCCATAGAACTGGGGGAGGAAAACACTGAGCTCAGCCTGCACTGAGCCCTTTCAGGGCATCCCAGCAGAGGTTGTGCAAAGCTGGGGTCTCTCCCAGGGGTGCTGCTCCAGAGGAAAAACCCAAGCAAATAAAAAGAAATCCAGATCCTGGAAACACAAGTCTGGAAAAATCTCCCCCCTTCCCCTCCCCAGCTGTGGGGAAAAGGGAGATCTCAAAGGTCAGACAGAGCAAAAAGGGGCCCATCAGGGCCTTTCCTCCCTGGCAGCCTCGGGCTTCTCGTGCCAGGTTGGAGCCGATTTTGCCTCAGAGCAATTCCCAGATCTCCTTCCCACGACCTCTGCGAACAGATCCAAGGCAGCCAAGCCTGGAGGGGTGTTTGGCCACCCCCAGGGCAGCCCTGCCATGACCAAACCATGCCAGGAGCTGAGTTCCATCCTGGGCTGCAGTGGGAAATCCATCACAGGGCCCAGACGTGGAATCTCGGCTGTAAAAACTGCAAGTTTAAGCCATTTTGGGGCTGGGGGAGACGCAAAAGGGAGCAGCTGAACCGAGGAAACCAAAAATCCTGTCTCTCTGGGAATCAGCAAGACAATCATTTCCCCCCCACCATTAAAAATTAGGTTTTATTTAGTTGAGGTTTTGCTTGGATGGAAATGTCTCAATGATTGTCTCCCACTGAGACCGTGGAACTCACCCCACGTCAAACACAATTAACTGTTCTGGAGTAACTCTGGGGTGCCACTTGACTGAACCTGCACCCAACACCAACCAAGGAAAGTCTCTGGCCCCTCCAAGCTCTTCCCTCCAGCCCTTTATCTCCAGAGACTCATTTTCCATGGACTTTTCCATTGGAATTTGGAGGATGGAAGTGCTGTCAGTGCAAGCACTGACCCACAAGACCAGGGAAGACAACCAAAACCAGGCTCTCTGAAAACCCTGCTCTCCTCCACCACCAAATACAAACTGTACCCAATCCACCTGAGCCAGCAGCAGTTTTGACCCAGCGTTCCCATTAACCCTCCCCTGGGTTAATGGGAATCTGCATCACTGGGTCAGTGGGAATTCCCACATTCCCTCCCCTGGGATCACCTAAACCACCCCTTTCATTCCCAAACCAGCCTCAAAAGGAACACCCCATGAACTATTCCTATTGCAGCCTGAACCCCCAATGCCACCACTCCTGCATCCCATTCCCTCCCCATGGAATTCACCCCGATGGAACACACCCCCTGCCGCTGTTTTGGGGGTTTAAGTGACTGCTTGGCAGCCTGGATTTCAGCCTGCCAGGGATACTGATGAATTCTTTCACTCCAGGTCCTTGTGGTTTAATTGGAGCAGGCTGAAGGCAACTCGTATTTTCTGGGAGTGTTTGGAGGTCTTCAGCTTTGTTTTTTTTGGTTTTATTTTTTTGCACATGTTCCCATTAAGCAGCTTGGCAGCAGCTGAGGATTTTCTAATGGGAGCCTTGCACAGCGTTCGAACACATTAAAAAAGATCACAGCCAAAAGCAACCACTTTATTTAAGCCTTGGAAGAGAGACAGAGGCTGGAAGTGCTCAGAGCACAGAGAGTGTTTCCGAGGAGGCTGAGGCACAAACCCAAGAGCGGCCAAAAACCCTGTATCAGCACAACTTGCTGTGAAAACAGGAGTCAAGCACCAATTTAGCAGGAGACAAACGGCAACCTTTTCAACCAGGTGATCCTTTCACACCTTACCGATGATAAACTAAAACAAGTGGCTCCATTTAAGTGGGAATTTCCCGTCGGGCTATAACGCTTACATTTCCATTGTACCCTCAAATCTCCTACAGGCTTCCAGGAGCACAAAAAAACCGCAATTAAAACCAGTCACTCACCTGCAGTGAGTCGTTCAAGCAGCCCAAATGCCAGTCCTGCCCTGAGCAGCAGCAGGAGGAGGATCCCGGGTGGCTCTGGAGGCAGCGAGTGCCCGCACGGCTCTGACGGGCAGGTGAGGATCAGAGTTTGTCTCAGGAAAAGACTCAGATTCGGAAATCCTACACCCCCCGTGAAACCCTACCTTGCCTCGCTGTCCTTGGCTGCAAAGGAAACACGGGGCTGCAAGCAGGGCTGTGCTGCATCTTCACACTGCCCCTCCCCACCTCCCCAAAAAAACTGCCCCCAAACTCCTCAGCAACCCCCCCTCAAGGCAGGGGTTGGACCCTCAAGAGCTGAACCCTCCCGGTGAGAATTTCAGCACTTGGGAACAGATTCATCCCCACACGTGGTGAGGGATTCCCTTAACGTTCTGAATTCCACACTGGGCAGCAACACCCGCTTTGAGGAGCAACATTTTTATTTTTAAGACCAAAAATGGCACCCCAAGAGTCCAGCAGCTCTTGCCTGGCTGTATGTGGGTTCTAGTCTGGGCTCTTGGTCCCACCAAGGCATCAACAGGAGCTACCCAACCTTGGGATTGGGCCCTGGCCTCACTCTCTGCCCTGTGCAATGCTTTAGGGACACGAGGTCAAAACTGGGGGGGACCCATTGACTTGTGGCCCCTCTGTGTCCCAGGGAGGCCCTGGGAGCCTTTCAAGGGATTTTTAAGGAGACACTGAGCATCCCACCCTGTGGAAAACTCCAAAAGGAGCCCTGCATTCAGCTCAGAGCAGCATCAGCATTGCTGGGGAAGAGGTAACACACCCCAGGGTGGCACAAGGGTCTTCCCTTTAGCAAAGACCCACCTCGTTCCCACCAAGAACCATCTCCAGGAGATTCTGGTTGCTTTGGTGGGTCCTTCCAAGCCCATGGTACGGTGTCCTTGTCATTTTTATCCCAGGAATACATGGGATGAGTTCAGCCCATCATCCTCCAGGTGAGGAGGGTGGGAGGAAGGTGCGCGCTGGAGCTGCGGCGTGGCCGTGGGTTTGTCGATGAGCAGGGAGGGGTCTTCCCCACCCCTCCTTGCTCCCTCCTTGAGCTGACTGCATCTTGGGATCAGGTAGGTTCTTGGGATCAGGTTCCAACCCTGCAGAAATCACGGGCAGCAAGTGGTGGCATAAAAAGTTCCGTGGCTTGCCCAAGTCATCAGCTTGGCCGTTTTGCTCCAACCCAACCCAGCAGGGACACAAAATTCTCCCTCCTACTTCGAGCACCACCCAAGGCCATGCCTGCCCAGCCCCCTCAGAGGTGGGGCGGCCTCCTGGGTGTTTCCCAGGGGGTTACAGTTACACCACAGCAATAGGGAACCTCATTAATTACTCGTGCAGCTGAACGGTGGTAACGAAGGCGCGGGACATATCGAGAATCATGTTTGCATGGCAAGTGGCACAGGAACACCCAGAGAGGGTGATGCTCCACAGAAAGGCCTGAAGTTGTTACAAGGACGTCAGAAGACTTGATACAAAAAGCTGGCTCATTAATAGCTAATGAGGGAATGAATTATGCACCCACTCGGGTGGATTGTGTTTCTCGCCTCCTCGCCACCATCTCCATCACCTTCCTGCTCCCTGCTTTCTGTCCCACTTGTTGTTGGGGTTTTTTCTGCTTTATTTTCCTGTTTTGCAGGACTTCTGTCTGGTCGTCACCAAAAACCTCGAAGTTGAATCCACCCTCTCTGCAGGTGACGCCCCAAATCCACCCAGAGCCACCCAAGGGACCACCCACCACCCTGAGCCCTCCCTGAGGAGGGCTGGGCGCTTCCCCCCATCCCATCAGGGCTGCTCCTGCTCCCAGAGCCCCCCTGACGCCCTGGAAACCCGAAAGAGAAGCTGCAGGCAGCCAAACAAAAGCTTTCCAGCGTGTTTTTTCTCCAGGATGTGCCGTGCCCTGCCTGCCATCTGCGCGGCCCGGCGGGAGCAGCCGGTGCTGGGAGCAGCCAAGCGCCAGCAGCTCCGCTCCAGCCACGCTCCAGTGGGTCCCCGGCAGGTGGAGAGGGATGGGGAAGGTCGAGAGAGGAGA